TCGTCGTCTACCTCTGCTGCTCTTATTGCCCAAGGTTTCAGTAATGATGTTGTTCTGTTAGCCACGGCAACAGTCTTGGTTAAAAATCGTTCAGGAGTCCTCGTTCCCTGCCGAGCTTTGCTTGATTCCGGCTCTCAGCTGCACCTAATAACCTCTCGTTTTGCAAATCAGCTTCAGCTTCGAAAAATAAAATCATCGACTGCAGTATCTGGAATAGGTGATTCAAACTTCGTCACGGATGGATTTTCGGTCAACATTAGCCTGCACTCTCGCTCGACGGACTACTCAACTCTCATCACTGCTGTTGTAGCCTCTAACATAACCGATCGTCAACCAAGTTACGGAATAGACACTCACGACTGGAACATTCCAGCAAACCTACCTCTTGCTGATCCAGAGTTTCATAGACCTCAGCGTGTCGATCTTTTAATTGGCGCCAGTCTGTTCTACGAGCTTCTTTGTGTTGGTCAGGTCAAATTACTGCCAGGATTGCCATCAATTCAGAAAACTCGTTTGGGATGGGTCGTGTCTGGAGGTTATTCTCCGGTAAAGGGATCTTCTTTGATTGTGTCGCGTGCTGCGGCCGCAGTTGCTGACAATAGTAACCTAGAAGAGCGACTTGAGGTACTGCTTCGACGGTTTTGGGAGGTAGAAAATTGCATGGAGCCCATTGTAAGGTCTACGAAAGAAGAGCTAGATTGTGAGGCTCACTTTGTTCAACATTTCCAGCGATTACAAACTGGCGATTATTGTGTTCGGCTGCCAGCTAAATATAACTTGGATCTCTTGGGAGAATCTTATCAACAAGCTCAACGTAGATTCTTATCTCTTGAGCGGAGGTTAGATCGTCGCCCTGATGTGAAATCTCAGTATGCTGCTTTCATAAAAGAGTACCTTGATCTAGGTCATATGTCTTTGGTTCCTGCCGAGTCAATCAGCTGCTGCCGCTACTTTTTGCCTCATCATTGCATCAGAAAGGAAGATAGCTCGACAACCAAGCTGAGGGTCGTTTTCGATGGATCCGCAGCAACTTCATCCGGTTATTCCCTGAACGACGTCTTAATGGCCGGCCCTGTAATCCAACCCAAGCTTTTCCATATTCTCACTCGATTTCGGTCATATGCAGTTGCGATAACGGGAGATATTTGCAAGATGTACCGGTGTGTAAGGGTCTCACCCGAGGATAGTAACTTGCAGTGTATTCTGTGGAGGAATTCTATGCAAGAGGATTTGCGTGTGTTTAAGCTTGACACCGTTACTTATGGGACGAAGCCTGCCTCATATTTATCAGTGCGGGCGATGCATCAGCTGGCAATGGATGAGCAGGTAGCGTTTCCTGTTGGGGCTGAGATTCTTTGCCGGGACTTTTACGTCGATGACTTGATATCTGGAGCCAGCTCTCAGGAAGAGGCTATCCACATTCGTGAGCAAACCACTGGAATTTTGTCGAGAGGTCAGTTCCGGTTGAGGAAATGGTGTTCGAACGTGCCTGCTGTGCTCGATGGAGTTCTGGAACAGGACAAGGAAACCTTTTTAAAGTTCGACGATGGCAGCAATTTCACCAAAACTTTAGGACTTGCCTGGGATCCGGTTTCTGATCAGCTTTTATTCTCGTTTTCGGCCCTACAGTCATCTTCGCGTCCCTGCAGGCGTTCCGTTTTGTCAACAATAGCTCGGTTCTACGATCCCCTCGGATTAGCTGGGCCTATCATTACAAAATCAAAAATCTTTCTCCAGCAGTTGTGTAAAGAGAAGTTATCCTGGGATGTAAGCTTGCCATCCGCACTCAACACCTCGTGGCAGGAAATATGCAGTAGTTTTGGCCAGATTCGGCGTTATGAATTTCCTCGGCTTGTGCTCATTCCGAACTCTGAGTTAGAAATTCATGGATTTTGCGACGCGAGCATAGAGGCTTATGGTGCCTGTATTTATGTTGTGTCGAAGGGTCAGCGATCCAGCAGTCACTTACTTTGCGCAAAATCTCGTGTTGCTCCATTGAAAACACTAACCATACCAAAGCTGGAGCTTTGTGGAGCGGAATTGCTAGCTAGGCTCATATCTGAGGTAGCAGGAATGAGTGTCTTCAAAGGAAGGTGCTACTGTTGGTGTGATTCGGCTGTTGCGCTCTCTTGGATTCGGGACGAGCCATCCCGATTCAATATATTTGTCGCAAACAGAGTGGCAACGATACAGGAACTGACTGAAAAAATGGAATGGCATCATGTTCCCACAGATTTGAACCCGGCCGACATTCTTTCACGAGGAGCTCTACCAATCGAGTTGAGTGAGTCACCCCTTTGGGCTCATGGACCTCCCTTTCTTTGCGGCTCTTCAGATGACTGGCCAGCTACGGTGTTGCCTGATAAGCCAACCCTGGAGCTGCGTCGTAAGGTTTTCTTAGCCAAATCACCCTACTTGGACATTGTAGCCAAATCCAAGTATGCGAACTCATTCGCTTCTTTGCAACGCGTTTTTGGCTACATTCACAAATTTTGCAACCGGATTCGGCGCCCTGGACTCACCGTCTCTGACATTGAACGTGGAACCCAGCTATTGGTGCGGCTGGTCCAGCGTACGCAGCTCTGGGAAGACATGAAGTCACTGCGCTCTAGGGGAGTGGTCGCCTCATCCAGCTCACTTTCATCATTGTGCCCTTTCATGGATAATTTTGGACTCCTCAGAGTTGATGGTCGGCTGAAGAATTCTTCGTTGGATTTTGATGGCCGTCATCCCATCATCTTGCCCAGCAGCCATCCGCTTACTCTCGCAATAATCTCTCACTTTCATGAGCTGAATCTACACGCCGGTCCTCGAGCTCTACTGGGATTAATTCGATCCCAATATTGGCCTATTGGGGGGAGAAAGACAGTTAACAAGGCCGTAAACAAGTGCGTGAGATGTTTTCGAACGAAACCTAGAATATTGGAGCACATCATGGCGGATCTTCCAAAAGAGCGCCTAGACGGTTCTCACGCTTTTGAGATCACAGGCGTAGACTTTTGTGGCCCGTTTTTCTACAAGCCGGAGGCACGCAACAAGGCTCCAATCAAGTGCTACGTCTGCGTCCTCATTTGTTTCGCGACCAAGGTCGTTCATCTGGAGCTGATCAAGGATCTATCGACAGTCTCTTTTCTCCACGGCCTAAAGCGCTTTATATGCACCAGACGAAAGCCACGGCAAATTTGGTCAGACAACGCAACCAATTTTGTCGGTGCAAGGAACGAGCTCGTGGAGCTAAGACGCCTGTTTCTCAGCGACGATCATCAGAAGGCGGTTCTGGATTTCTGTTTGGTTGAGTCCATTGATTGGCACTTCATCCCGCCGCGCTCGCCTCACTTTGGTGGCCTATGGGAAGCCGCAGTGAAGACGGCCAAGTACCACTTCTATCGAGCAATAGCCAATTCGGTTCTTGGATTTGACGAGCTGCGGACGCTGTTATGCCACATCACGGCAGTCATTAATTCAAGACCTTTAGTTCCCATTTCAGAGAGTCCTGCCGATCTTGACGTCTTTACTCCAGCACATTTCTTGAATGGCGGCCCTCCTGCTTCATTCGCTGAGCCTGATGTCACGAAGCTAAACTTCGATCGCCTTGACGCCTGGCAGCACGTTTCTTACCTTCAACAGCTCTTTTGGTCCCGGTGGAAGGAGGAGTACATCACGTCACTGCAGCAGCGCTCAAAGTGGCGAACTCAGAAGCCGAGTTTAGCAGTCAAAGCCCTGGTCCTCGTCAAGGATGAAAATCTACCTCCCATGAAGTGGCCACTAGCGAGGGTGGTCGAACTACTACCTGGAAGAGATGGCGTCGCCCGAGTCGCTGTGCTGAGGACTGCAACTGGAATCACCAAGCGAGCCGTTAACAAGCTGTGTCTGCTTCCCCTTAAAGATGCTGTTGAAAGTCAGGCTTCCAACGGGGGGTGTATGTCGGGTCAAGCAGCCTAAATAATTATGTTCATTATTTGCACTGTACCAATCACTGTTAATCAGCCTATGATATGCACGGCAGCGGCCGCTCTTTCATTTTATCTCGCCTTCTTCGCTTTGTTGTTGCAGTTGCAGCATCTAAGCTGGTCTCTCTCGTTCCATATGACGTTCGTGCGCGGCTTAGCATCTGCCCCGATCTGCTCTCCTTTCATCGCTCGTTTTCGCTCTCTTTAACACTTGCTGCATAGGGCGCTGGCAAGTCGGCCCATGTGCCCTTGTAGCCAGTAGAGAGATAATCTTCGTATCAATCGCATCGCTTTATTATATCGCTCATACTAACGCCTACTTTATTTCCCAATAAAAATTAATTGTACATTTCTCATTGAAACGCTAGACCTTTTTCTTTAAGTCAAACGATTTTCAACGGCTATTAAAAACTCTTAATAGCCAAACACCCACTGTACCAAGAGTACTTAAAAGGGAACACACTGTAACACTTTGTTGCAGTGTTTATGCAATAAACATTCCCAGGCATATTCAGTGCGACGAAATACGATCACACATATATGCCTGGTACTACATTAGTGCAGCGTCGGCATGTATAGCATAGCCGACGGCACTTGAATATGATCCACACAAGCATGTGCATATTCCCCTCGCGCCCCCCGCTATCAACAGCGCTGGGCATATATAACAAACATATAAATGCGGCCGCTCCGCTGCCGGCATTCCTGGCAGCGCAGCTGCGCGGCCTTAGCTTAAGCTATAACTGTAAGAATATCAGAAATACATTGAATAAAGTTATATCGAAGGAGACGGATGTCTCTGTTTAATAATACGTATTTACACTCCCCCTTTCAATGGAAAGGGGCGTATCGTTATTTCTAAATGTGTTTTGTCTTCCCGTGTTTGTCTTACCAGAATCCTATAAATTTTTGTATGACCTAGATTTAACTTTTCAAATGATCGCATGTTTAATTTATAGTTGCATGAATAAATAGATTTGAGTTTAACCCATACGTGTACTGCTACTTATGCTAACTAAGTATACTTAAAACTATTTCTTTTATTCACAGCTGATAATCAATGTAATGATCCTGAAGCGGAAAATGAAACCGACAGTGAATCATCTCAAATACAAGGTAAAATAGTTTCTACATATTAAAATATCATTTAATACTACTTGGTTACTAATATTTGAATATAAGTATTTTTAAAATCATCAGTACAGCAAAACAGCAATTTATATAAATATCTTATCGAGTTTGCAGGCGACCCTTTTGAGGATTCTGGTTCAGAGTACCAAGATTCCAAGACTGAATCGGAATCAGAAAACGTTATTACACCTATAAAACGTCGCAGTAGTAAGTTTGTTACTCTTACTGTTACTCTTGTTAAATAGTCATACACTTTATATTGAGGAAAGATTTAACATCACTTTGGCTCTGGGTGATGTCATGTCTTTAGAAAAGTTACCATCGCTGCAAGAGTGCAACAACATTATAAAGCGGTCTAATTATTTAAAAAGCCGAACACCAGCCCAACTAAAAACATGGATAGACAACCAGAGGAAGGCAGCTGCTCGAAAAGGAGCCAAATAACACGCTGCCAGAATTTAAAATTAAGTCACAAAGAAAAATGTTCTCCGAGTTATTTTTGCACATTTTAGTTATAATATCTCATGGAAAATATCTATTGCAAATATTTTCGTTGGGATTTTCATATTTGAAAGGAAAAGTTATGTGAAATATTTAACACAATTTATTTGATTTATTGATAAGTTTTAAAATGAAAAATAAACCCTGATTTCTATAAAATTTCCACTGTTGTTTTTATTGCACATTTTATCACCCAAAAGCATTAGGATTTATGTACCATTTGTATTGAACCACTATTTTAGGGACTTGCACTGTGTCCCTAAAATAGTGGTTTAATAAAAATGGTATATAAATCCTTATGCATTGATTTCAGTGTGCAGTGTACCCAAAATAAACGATAGGTTAATAATTATTTTTTAAAATGTGAAAAGGTGGCAACGCCGAAATTTTGTTCCCCAAAATATGCGTTGAATATAAAACGTTTGTTATACGTATATTCTGCATTATATGCATCAGGTATTCCAAGGACACGGTCCCCAACATATGCTCCACACATACATATATATATTCTTGATCAGCATCAATAGACGAGTCGATGTAGCCATGTCTGTCTGTCCGTCTGTCTGTCTTGTTGAGCGCCTAGATCTTAGAGACTATAAGAGCTAGGGCAACCAAATTTTGTTTCCAGACTCATGTGATATCCCACTGCTACAAGTGTATTTCAAAATTTCGCCCCGCCCCCTTCCGACCCACAAAGAACGAAAATCTGTGGCAGGCACATTTTTAAAGATACGATAAAACTAAAAACGCAGTATCGTAGAGAATGGCCATATCTACCAGACTGCTGAATCTGAATCAGATCGGATCATAATTATAGCCAGAATGACGAAATTAATTTTCAGTTGCTTCCCCTGCCCCCTCCAGCAAACGACAACACAACTCATTTTCCATCTCGCTCGCACACTCTGCCGCGTTCAGTGCGCGAGCAACCCCTAGCGGAGGAGATGTAGAATCTAAATGGTACATGTATAATCTACGTAATCTAAACGTTTCCTTCTCTGCGTTACACACATCCACTTTTACCACAAATCTAATATACCCCTTAACTCTTTTTTGAGTACGGGTATAAAAACATGTGGCTGATATTGTAATTATATAGAGAAAAAACGAATGTAAATCAGCCATATGCCCTAACACATTCTATCTTCATATTTTCACAAATTTGTTCTTCTAAATTTTTCCAATTGTTTTTTAAAGGAACGTGCGAGTCGCTTCTAACAACGCGACTCTACTTATACCCGTACTCAGTCAGTATTTTTTGAGCATATGATTTTTATACACGTACGCAAAAAAGAGTTAAGGGGTATATTAGATTTGTGGTAAAAGTGGATGTATATATTATATGTATATAATAAGAATTCCCGAGTTCACAAGTAGGTTTTTAAAAAGATATTTTATTTAACCGAACTTATAAAATAGAACATAGGATATGATAATGAATTCCCCAACTCAATGTTAGAAAGTCTCAAACGGAACTGTCTTCTTGTTCTCGAGTTATTGATCTCGAGACCTCTGTTGGGAAGCTTAAAGCTTATCTCCTTAAGCTTTCGGCTTCGGCTGATATTTCGTCTTCGTGATTGAGTGATGATGGCTTCGGCTGAGAGAGGCGAAGCTTCGGTTGTGAGAGGCGTTGCTTTGGTGAGAGCGGCTGATAAGCGATGCGTTGGCCTATGTGTGGGAGGCTTGGGAGAACTCACTTGTTTACAAGAGTTCTCCCTTCTATTGGAGTGTGGGACTGATTCGGAATTAGTCATAGTGTGGAGTGTGGGAACGAGCTGATAACGTATTGGTCAGCGACGTTCTATTGCATTCCCGAGTTTTGGGTTGCATGGGACTTCCTGTTGATTTCGGTATGGACGAATCATGCGTTGTTTGTTCAGCTGTTGGGGTATCTTCTTATATGTTTATCTTATTTCATATAGATGCGAATACATGGGTGTGGGGTGAGTGCTGGGCATATACATAACGTGTATGGTTGTGGGTGTGGTTATGAATATGTCAAGTGCTTAACGTATACTTAATGCGTATGTAGGTGTACTCCCCCGGCATTTCTTATAAGCCTGTCCTCAGGTTTTCACTTTAGGGTATAGGGAGGGGATTTCCTCTATAACTATTGGGGTACTATTTTCTTCTTCTTCTTTTTCGTCTGCTTCATTAGGTTTTACATATTGAATAGTTATATTTTTAGGTATTTTCTTAAATTTGACAATTAGATACCCAGTTATGCTTATTATAGATAAAATGAACATAATTATTATAACTATCTGCAATATATTATTATATTTTGTTTGTTGTATAATTATTTCTTTTGTCTGTACATAAGACAATGGTTCTAATCTAGTTATGTTATTACTCACATAGACGTTTTGTGTAAAATCTAGCATTGAATTAGTTATTGTGAATTCGTTTAATTGAGTTGAACAATTGTAAATCTTAATTATATTATTACCTTCGATTGTTATTTCCTTGTCTAAACAGTTTTGGTTTAATTTGGATTTTGGAAGGTTCCATGTTAACAATATATTTGGTTCAACGTAATTAATTTGGAAATTCTTAAAAGTTCTTGTGTATGGACATTTAGTGGGTTTTTGCTTTAAAATCCCTTTTATACAATTGTCTTCTATTAGTTGCTTAGTTTCTATGTTATATATTTTGTCTTCGTAAATATAATATTTATCGAATATTAATTCTCTTAAAATATTATTTTGGTTATCTGGATAAGGCACAATTTTATATATTGGGATATTAGCGATTTCGCTCGGAATATTGGAAATTATATAAATTTCGTTTGTATCAACTTTTAGCCATGTAGAAGTTTTAATATTTAGCAATTTCTCAGAATTTATATGTTTCAGGTAATCTTGTTTTAGTAGTTTTGGGTTAAAAATACCAAGTCTAGTTAGTTGCATTCCCATTTCTATATCCTCTATGTATTCAGTGAAATGTTGTAGGTTGAAGATTAAAATTTCTAATTGTTTTCTTCGTTTAATTGGTTTATTATCTCCATTCCATGGTTTACTACTTCTATAACTAAATTTAGTTCGTTTGTTTGGATGCTATGTGTGGCTAGATTTTCTATTCTCTGTTCTAATTCTTTCTTGTCTTCTTGATCTAGTGTGCCAAATAAGTATTTATAGGCGGTACCTACAATATTTATTAGGCCTCTCTTGTTGCGTTTCGCAATTTTTAAGCCATTTATTTCCCTATTTAATTTATCTACTAGGTATTTTACTTGGATTACGTTTTCAAATTTATTAGCCATTACTAGAAGGTTTTGATAGGTTTCTTCAGTTTTTGTTACATTAACTGTTAAGTAATGGTATTCATAGTTAATCGGGAGGTCGATTGATCCCGTTTTAAATATGAGGTATCCGTTTCTGGACTCGATCGGATTTATTTCAATATTTTGTCCTACTGTTGTAAGGACCATTAATGTCATGATGACGATGATTTTAATTATGTTGCCGTTGATCGTTAACTTCTGATTCGATGGGCGGCCTGGAATTATCGTATTTGCTAATATTAATTTTCTTTTTATACCCGTACTCAAAAAAAGAGTTAAGGGGTATATTAGATTTGTGGTAAAAGTGGATGTGTGTAACGCAGAGAAGGAAACGTTTCCGACCCCATAAAGTATATATATTCTTGATCAGCATCAATAGCCGAGTCGATATAGCCATGTCTGTCTGTCCGTCTGTCCGTCTGTCTGTCTGTCTGTCTGTCTGTCTGTCTGTCTCGATGAGCGCCTAGATCTCAGAAACTATAAGAGCTAGGGTAACCAAATTTGGTTTCCAGACTCATGTGATATCCCACTGCTACAAGTGTATTTCAAAATTTCGCCCCGCCCCCTTCCGCCCCACACAAAGGACGAAAATCTGTGGCAGACACATTTTTAAAGATACGATAAAACTAAAAACGCATTATCGTAGAGAATGCCCATACTCCCAGACTGCCGAATCTGAATCAGATCGGATCATAATTATAGCCAGAATGAAGAAATTATTTTCAGTCGCTTCCCCTGCCTCCCCTCCCACAAACGACAACGCAACTCATTTTCCTTCTCGCTCGCACACTCTGCCGCGTTCAGTGCGCGAGCAACCCCTAGCGGAGGAGATGTAGAATCTAAATGGTACATGTATAATCTACATGTTAGATGTAGAATATACATAATATATGTAGATGTAGATAACAGATGTAGCAAAAAAATGTAAATCATATGGTCAAAAATGTATATGCTGACTGAGTACGGGTATAGTAGAGTCGCGTCCCCAGAAGCGACTCGCACGTTCCTTCTCGTTCTTTTTATATTTGTTTTTGTAATGTGTTATCTTTCTTCCCCTATTCTTTTCTTCGTAATGTTTTTCATCTATTTTGGTTATTTCACCCGTCTTTTTGAAAGGGTTAGTTATTTTGGACTTCACTAGAGGTGATTTTCTAAACCTAGTGTCTACTTCAAAGTCGTTACGACTTTGGTTCAACTGGGTGATCTGATTCACCTTGTTCAGTTGAGTGTCGTAGTCTGGACTTCCTGCGTATATGAATATATCTGCTGGTGTTCTGTTGGTAGTATTATGTCGGGTCTTGTGATTATATGTGTATATTATTAGTTCAAATTTGGTATATTTGTTTTCGAGGTCATTCTCACTGGATATGATCCTCAATTTTTCGTTCACTGTTTTATGGAATCTTTCAACGTCTTATATTCCATTTTTACTGGATGTGATTAGGATCTTGACATCTTCCGAGATAAGCCATGCTTGCAATGCTGCGCACATAAAGGTTTGGTTTTTGGTTTCTAACCAGTCACGACTGTTCACTTCTATTAGTGTAGCGAATTTTGAGTATATATCGATACATGATAGGAACTGTTGGTTACCTATCAGATAGAAGTCCATTACGTAACGCTCTCGGATGTTTAAGACTTCCGGTGTT